TTTTTTTTTTTTTTTTTTTTTTTTTTTTTGAGATGGAGTTTTGCTCTTGTTACCCAGGCAGGAGTGCAATGGCGCAATCTCGGCTCACTGCAGCCTCCGCCTCCTGGGTTCAAGCAATTCTCCTGCCTCAGCCTCCCGATTAGCTGGGACTACAGGTGCACGCCACCATGCCCAGCTAATTTTTGTATTTTTAGTAGAGACGGGGTTTCACCTTGTTGACCAGGATGGTCTCAATCTCTTGACCTCGTGATCCACCCGCCTCGGCCTCCCAAAGTGCTGGGATTATAGGCTTGAGCCACTGCGCCCGGCCTGATATTCTCTCTTCTTAAACACAAACATATTTGTTTCAGTCATGCTTACAAAAGGAAATAAAGCAAAGTTCCACTATCTCTGAGATTTGCTTGCTTTATGGATGAAGGATGAATCTAAACATAATTTTAAAAATATGAAATCCAACCTGTGAAACAGAGAGTAGGCCCTCCTAAACATGTAAGCACCAATGATGAGTTATTCTTAACCTATGTGTACATTAAACAATGACAAAACCAGTTGCTTTAAGGAAGCAGAGAGCATGTATATGCCAAGCATCATACCCATAGAGCTGTACTCTTTAAGTTTCTCCAAAACTGCAGATGAGCTCAGACCCTGGGAGGGCAAAGCTTTCACATACTCTTTGTCCACTTTCAGGAATGACATGTTCTTGTTAATATCCTCCTTGGTCTTGTTCAATTTGTCTTGAATCTCCAAAGGTAAGAAAGGCAAAGTTAATCAGATGCAAGAGTACAGTAGAGACAGCAGAACCATTATGACATTCAAGCAGCTGCTCAAACGCTGGGCACTGCACAAGTAACTAGATAACATTTTTCTTAAAGATATATGGTGATATTTTGACTGGTTAGCTACTTTCTGCCATGTACAACAGCCTCTTAAAAATCTGAAAAGCGAAGCTTCTCTGTAAAGGTCAAGATGCACTCAGCCGGGTGCGGTGGCTCACGCCTGTTATCACAGCTTTTCAGGAGGCTGAGGTGGGTGGATTGCTTGAGGTCAGGAGGTAGAGACCGGCCTGGCCAACATGGTAAAACCCCAACTCTACTAAAAATACAAAAATTAGTCAGGCATGGTGTAAGGTGCCTGTAATCCGAGCTACTTGGGAGGCTGAGGCATGAGAAACACTTGAGCCCAGGAGGTGGAGGTTGCAGTGAGCAGAGATCACACCACTATACCCCATCCAGCCTGGGCAACACAGCAAGACTCTGTCTCAAAAAAAAAAAAAAAAAAAGATGCACCCAATTTCCCCTTAACCCATTTTTCTACCATGCTGATATCACTGCTGCTTCACTTGGTTTGTATTGCTAAAGTCAGCACATCCCTGAGGGCAACATTTGGACTTTGATCCTGCCTTGGCAGCAACTACAGTATGTGTGTAAAAGAATCAAAAGTACAAATACGAACAGTAGCCAGAAAACTGGCCATGCTGCAATGAAAGGCATTCTGGTCCTTGTGCAAGTGATGAGCTCCTTCAACAGACATGCACACAGCACACCAGGAATTTGAAGGCCCCATACAATACAAGCACAAGGCATTCTAAGAATTGCCAGGAAGGCTCCAATGTATCTTCTTAAGCTTGCACCGCCTGACCCCAAAATGTTAGGAGGAGCTAAGGTCCTTTCTGCTATGCCATTTATCAACTATGATTCTCTTCTCTTCCCCTCAAAGCCATAGCTTCTAAGCCATTTTCTTTTATTCACTTAACAAATATGCAGGCCGGGGTATACAGTGAACAAAACAAACTTTTAGGCAGTGGAGAACACAAGAAAAAAAAAAAAAAAAAAAAACTAAAAAACACCTCCTGTCCTCATGAAGTTTATTTTCAGCAGGAGAGACAGAAGTAAGTCAGGTAGCAAAAAGTGCTGAGGGAAAAAAATAGCAGAGTAAAGAGGCAGACGGGTAGGGCCTTCGGCTTACAGCAAAAGACTCTTGGTTAGTAGGTTTGGAGAGAGAAGCTACATGTCACAATTTGTTCATGTCACAGTGCTACTGTTTCAGCAATATATTTGCTTGAGAACTCAAGAACTCACTCCACACTAAGATTGTCTCATCTCTAGCCATGGATGATTAGAAGAAAGAGAAGTTCTTAGATATGGCCCTTGATGAAACCACAGGGTAAGTCACTCTTTTTGAGCACACCTACAAATTGTCTAACAGGCCTGTACTAGCAGGGAGCAGAGGCTACACTCCTGGGCAATTCCAGGGCATTCTATGGACATGAAGATATTTTTTAAGTTGTAAATTTAAAAATTAATTCACATAAATGATGACTCATGCAACAGAACAGGCTATGAAAGCTGAGCTTCCATGCATAGAGTATGCTATTGCCGTAAAATAAAACAAACAACAAATGACAGACGTATATTAGAAAGCACAGCAAGTACTTCCTTACTCCCAATTCTTGCCTCAAAGCCTATATTATGGTACCCAATTTTAATTTCTTCAAAGCATTTACTTTAAAATAACATTCCATGTATTTGTTTACTGATTTATTTTCTGTCTTTCCTATTAAAATGATAAGTTCTGCTGGGTGCAGTGGCTCATGCCTGTAATCCCGGCACTTTGAGAGGCTGAGGCAGGCAGATCATAAAGTCAGCTGTTTGAGACCAGCCTGACCAATATGGTAAAACCCCGTCTCTACTAAAAATACCAAAAATTAGCCAGGTGTGGTGGTACACAACTGTAATCCCAGCTACTCAGGAGGCTGAGGCAGGAGAATCACCTGAACCCAGGAGGCAGGGGTTGCAGTGAGCCGAGATCACACCACTGCACTCCAGCCTGGCCGACAGAGCAAGACTCCATCTCAAAAAAAAAAAATAAATAAGTTCCATGAGAGGAAGAACTTGGTCTTATTCACCACCATATCCCCAGCACCCTGAAAAGTACTTGACACTGAGCAGGTGGCTCAATAAACATGTGTTGATAAGTGAATAAATGACAGAGGGCTACACATATACACAGACGAACATGTGCGTGCACACACACACATGTAACTTTTTGTCTCTAAGCCTCAGAATCTGCTTCTGAAAAACTAGAGGGTAATTAGATAGCCCTTAGCAAGCTAAGGATATTTACTTTATAAGTTAAAGAATGGGTTCTGCAACCCTAGCATTTATTTGTCTCAAAGTCTGGATACTGAATAAAGTGAGAAGAAAAAAAAATGCAGGAAATAAAGGGAAATCCTAATGTAATTTATGCTATAGTCCATCTTCTATAATACCTTCCCTGTTCCCACCCCTTATACTCTATAAGGGCTAGATTTACTTTTAGGGATTCATATAATTTAGAGAGCAAACAGAAGCCTATGTGCTCACATCCCCCTTCACCACCCCATTTATTGCTTCCACTCCCCTACAGGAAATGAACCTGAAGATACATATCTCTGGGAGAGTTAGCACAGCAGCCTGAATGGATTTCGGCCAAAGGCTAAAGATAACTGGCAACCTTTTAGGTCAGGAGTCAACCAAAGACCCCTGGTATAGCCAGGAAAGAAAACTGAAAGCCCAAAGTGAAAGAAAACTTGAAGACAGGTAAAGTTGGGAAAGACCAAAGGAGGGTGAGGGGAAGGCACTGGAAGAGGTGAAGATGCCAAGGACTCAAGTGCCTTCCTGAGAGCTTGCCAAGGGGCCTGTCCTGGTTATCTTCATCTGTGATAAAGAACCTGTGAGAGGCACAGAGGTGACTACCTTATCCTCAGCATGGGTGAAGGCAAAGGGGATATACTATAATATAGGTAAGTGCAAAGAGCAAGTGACAGCGCTGTGCAACTTGGGATCAGCAAACTACAGCCAGGAACCTACTAAGGCATACCTGAATTCATAAAGAAAGTTTCACTGGAATAGAGCCAGGCTCATTCATGAGCCTCTTGCTGTCGGCCCTCTACAAGGGCAGAGGTGAGGAGTTGCAACAGGCATGATATGGCCTACAGAGCCCAAAATGTTTCATATCTAGCCCATTACAGAAAACGTTTGCGGACCCCTGACCTAAACCCTGTGAGCACCCAACTTCTAGATAAATAGCTCAAGTCAGCCAGCCACATGTTGTTCCAAAGCACCGTAACACTATAGTCAAGTCTTCTCATTTCAAATTCTTACTTCCTTAACAGGCTTCTCATCTCTCCTTTGGCCATTTATGTTGGAGAAAGCGTTAAGTCAGGGTTTCTCAATCTTGGTTCTTTTGACATTTCCAGCCAGATAATTCTGTGTTGGGGCAGGTGGGCTGCCCTGTACATTGTAGGATGTTCAGCAGCATTTCTGGCCACCATCCATTACATGCCAAGAGCACCACTCCATAGCTGTGACAATGGAAACCTTCTCCAAACACTGCTAAGTGTCCCCTGAGGCAAGGGAAAAAAATCACCCCTCCACTTTGAGAATATTAGGTTCAGTAAATAGAAAGAAGTATGACGCTCAAGAGGGGAAAAAATGACATATACAGATTCCACTTACCTTACGACCAATAACGGGCATCTTCCTAGTGAGCTTAAAACATTTCTTTTTAAACCTTGACCATAAACCTGTAAGAAACAAATGGTTCTCTTATTCAAATAAATTTCCAGATATGACCTGGTATATAGCAACTATTCAATGTGTCTTCCGCAACCTCACTTGCTTCCAATTGCAAAGAATTGCTTTCCTTCAAAAAACAACAAAAAAATACTTTTAAATTTAAATTTGTGAAGTACCGTACTTACATGGTTCAAAATTTTAAAAATACAAACGCATTCACATACAGTAAAGCAGCGAAGTTTCCCTCTTTCAAACCTATCCCCCTGACCCTCAGGCTACCCCCAAGTAAACACTACTGTTAGTTTCTGGTACACTCTTCCAGAGTTTCTTTATGCATACACGTGCAACAGTAAAGCTATATTCTTATTTGTCTACCTTCTTTTGCACAAAAAGTATACTCTAGCATTGTAGTAGACCTTGTTTTTCCACTTAGGAGTATCATCTTAAAGATCAGTGCATCCTCTTTTTTTTTGAGACTGAGTCTCACTCTGTCATCCAGGCTGGAATACAGTGGCGGAATCTCAGCTCATTGCAACTTCTGCCTCCCGGGTTCAAGCGATTCTCCTGCCTCAGCCTCCCAAGTAGCTGAGACTACAGGCACATGCCACCTAATTTTTTGTATTTTTAGCAGAGACAGCATTTCATCGTGTTAGCCAGGATGGTCTTGATCTCCTGACCTCATGATCTGCCGCCCACCTTGACCTCCCAAAATGCTGGGATTACAAGCATGAGCCACTGCACCCAGCCCTCACTAATTTTTATAGCTGCAGAGTATTACATTATATGAATGTGCCAAAATTTATTTAACCTGCCCCTTAATGATGGAATACAAGTTGTTTCTAATATTTGCTATTACAGATCATGCTGAAATAAATAACCTTTTAACACACACCATACTGCATACCTACAAGTATACCTACAGGATAAACTCTCAGAAGCAGAACTACTAGCTCAAATGATGTATGTATTCCAGAATTCTTGACCCTCCTAAGGTTTCTAGATGTTCAACATTTCTCTTCCTTCCCCCAAGACTAATATGGCCAGCCCCTGTTTCCGGTTTGTTTTTCCTGGATCTATGTTTTACCTCAATTGATGAAGCAATTGAGGTAAAAAGAAGTCTAAAAATCAGCAAACTGAACCAGCTGTCCTGAAGTATAGTCATGTGACTAGGAGAGGATAAAAGAATAGACTAATTTTGTGAAAGTTGTGAGAAAAAAAATGGTACAGGGTAAAAAGAACAGAATACAGTGTCAGAGATGAAGAAAATAAAAATAAAAAGAGCCCATGGTTATCACCTAAAAAGATTATCTCAGAAGTCCCTAGTGGTACAGAAAGAAAAGTAATTAGAATTTTTTAGTGGGATTGAGGGTAAGTGGAAGAAGGAATATGGGAGATGGTCAAAAGGACAGAACATTCCAGTTAGATAGAAGCAGAAATATCAAGAGACCATGGTGATACAGTAAATAAAAATGTGCTGTATACTTAAAGATCGCTAAGAAAGTAGATTTTAAGTGTTCTCACCTTTTAAAAAGGTACATGAGGTAATGTTAGTTTGATTGAACCATTCCACAACTTACGCATATTTTAAAACATCATGTTGTACACCATAAACATATACAATGTTTGTTATTTTTTTTTAATTTTTAAAAAGTTGAAGATAACAAAATAGGAAATGTCAGTATAAGAACAATGCATGGTTCTTAACAGTTTACAAATTCCACTCATGCAAAACATACAATTCAGTCCTCATATTACCTGTGACTAGATAAAGCAGCTATTATGACATCCATTTAATTGCAAGGAATAGGCTAAGAGAGCTTAAAAGGGTGTTACCCAAGGTGACATAACAAGAAACTGAGAGTTTATCATCTCCTCCCATGACATAAAGCTGATTTCTGTTGGTGAACTATGGACAACCCACAGTTAAAATCAGTGTTAAAGTAAAAACAATAAACTGTGAGCTGATAATCACAGGGAAGAAATAAGGAGGAGGCAATATCCTGGAGAGCTGCTAAGCCCTGCCCAGCTCATGCCACTGCCCACTTCTCCTCTATCCCAGGCTCCATCCTTTGTTCCAGAACTACTCTCTTCCCTCAGGAGGGATTCAGAGTTGGAAGATCAGCAAAATTCATCACTAGTCCAGACTTCAGACTCCTCTAGCGCAGTGTACTAAAAATAACTTGATTGTTCAGCAACACATGGCAAATGAGCAAATGCTAAAAAATGAATATTCTATCAAAATTATCCCTGATCTCTTGAGGGAAGACATTCTTATCTGTGTCTAAAATTCAAGTTGGAAGTTACCAAATAAAAGTGTGCTGTGTATGTGCTAAATTGTACAAAATTGTCGATATCCAACAATTTTTTACTATAAAAATTATATTCTGTATGATTCAAACTGGATTCAGATATAGAAACAGAGATAGACAAATAGTGGTATCCTTCAGTAGTAAGATTTTAATTTTGTTCTTATTTACCCATAGTGACCAACTTTTCCACAGTGAATATGTACTGCTTTTGTTTTATATTATACATATGTTTAAAAACAAAACAACTTGGCCAGGCGTGGTAGCTCACGCCTGTAATCTTAGCACTTTGGGAGGCTGAGGTGGGCGGATCACCTGAGGTTAGGAATTCAAAACCAGCCTGGCCGACATGGCAAAACCCCATCTCTACTAAAAATACAAAAATTAGCCAGGCATTGTAGTGGATGCCTATAATCCCAGCTACTCTGGAGGCTGAGGCAGGGAGAATTGCTTGACCCCAGGAGGCAGAGGTTGCAGTGAGCTGAGATCGTACTACTGCTCTCCAGCCTGGGTGACAGAGTAAGACTATCTCAAAACAAAACTAAACAAAAACCTCAAATGGCTTGGAGTTCAGCCCACAAGGATTTAGATGACATATGTCATGAGTATACTATGACTAACAATTGTCTCATGGAAAACTGGCCTCTCAAGAGGCCAGCATATTCCTTTTTGACCACTAGAAGCAGATAAATAATTATCAGAGCCTAAGATGGCTGTGTCTCTACTATTAGTTAAGTGAAATGTACGGCACAGTGAGCTGCAGAACTGAAATGAGAAATATGTAGCCACAAAAAAATGAAAAACATGGGAGGTAATGCATGTTAATTTGCTCAATTTAGCCATTTCACAATGTATACACATTTCAAAACAACAGGTTATACGTGATAAACAATGTTTATTTGCCAATTAAAATAATTTTAAAATTTGTTTTAAAAAGAAATACCTAAAGTTAATACTAATCATAGCAGTATAATATAAATTTCAGATATCTACGCTTAGCCTTGTTTCACAGATGTACCACCTCTGAATGGTAGTACATTTGTAAACAAGGCAGTACAATAAATGGTGGCTGCCAGGGGATGGGGGAGAGAGTAATGAGCAGTCATTATTTGATGTTATTAAAATGGAGTTTCAGTGGGGTGATGAAAAAGTTCTGGTAGTAGTGATGCCTGTACAATAATGTGAATGTACGTACTGCCACACGACTAACTGCATACTTAAAGATGGTTAAAGTGGTAAATTTCATGTTACATATATTTTATAACAGAAAGATGGATAAGCAGAGACTGGTTATTTTTAAAAATTAAAAGTTAAAACATAAAAAGAAAGTACATTTCTTGCTACCCCTCCGAGTCCTCTGAAATGGGCCGCTTACTCAACGAACTGAATACAGGAATAAGCATGAGCAGAAGGACATGAGCTACAACCATATCCAAACCATTGAGCAGATGCCACAGAAGGGCCAGCCAGTCTAATTTGTCAGAGTTTATCAGAAAATGTTGCAAGGACTAAGAGCAGCAACTGAGGACAAAGCTTTTAAAGCTGGAATGAAGTACAGATTGACACAGGACAGTCACGTCTCATTTCCACTTTAATTGAAAAGCTAAGTAGCTGGAACTTGCTTCTTGGTTGTCGGGTTTTGCAATGTTTACTACGCCATAAATCGCTAAGAAGCTATTTGACAAGTAAAAATGGAATCTGGCTTCTCAATTGACTTTCCTTGAGCAAGAAGAAGAAAAGCAGAAAAAAACACAGGTGAAGAGTCCTTTTAAACATATGTTATCAGGGAAGCAAAGCGGTGGGGAAACTTCAAACAAATGAGAAACAGTGAATAATTATCTTGAATGTTACTGATTTTTTGTTTGTTTGTTTTCGAAACAGAGTTTTGCTCCGTCACCCAGGCTGGAGTAAAGTGGCACAATCTTGGCTCACTGCAACCTCTGCCTCCCAGGTTCAAGTGATTCTCCTTCCTCAGCCTCCCTTGCAGCTGGGATTACAGGAACCCAGCTAATTTTTTATTTATTTATTTTTTGTATCTTTAGTAGAAATGGGGTTTCACCATATTGGTCAGGGTGGTCTAGAATTCTTGACCTCAGGTGATCCACCCGCCTCGGCCTCCTAAAGTGCTGGATTACAGGCATGAGCCACTGCACCCAGCCACTGTTACTGATTTCTTACGCCAACGAAGTTAACTCCAATACCCTACTAAGAGTGGGGAAAGGGTGCAGGGGAGCGTTACAGAACATCCAGCACCAAATCGATGATTTGTGTTTAGGTACAAACAAAACTCACAAAGCACAGACTGCAACTCATAAGAAGGTAACATGCAACCAGGTTTCTAGGTGGGAAAAAAGTGGGTGGTCAGGAAAGGGGCTTAATCCTAAGCAAGGGTGGAAGATTCATAAGCAGATCATTGGACTGCTCATCTTCTGCGCCCTGAGAAGTGCCCTCTTCTTCCCCATGTTGATCTGGCTCTGAGTCACTTCCAGGAAGCTCAAAGTATATGATCCCCACCCCACCCCAGCTCCAATACCAGAAGTTCAGCTCCGATACCAGAAGCTCAGCTCCAAGAGGAGAGAGATCCTGTACTACTTGTGCAGATATCCCCAGAGCCTGCTGCAGTGCCTGGCACATAACAAGCACTCAAATGGTCACCACGTAAGTGCTGTTCCAATTTCACCTAATCTTTATTGAAAGGGATGGCACAAAATGAAAGCAAAAAATTCCTGCTCGGGGAACTCCAGGTGACATAATTATGTTCTAGGGAAGAAACTGGTACCGAAGGTTTAAGCCACGCTGTGATAGCTATGGATCCTTACAATGACTAATTCTGAGGTGTTTTTACATAAACTACAAATTCAAAAAAAAATCAATGTTAAGGAGTATTAATTACACAACAGTCCTGTTATACCAATCAGAAGACAAAGTACTGCTTTACATTTAAACAGACTTTAAAAATTAAGAACCAAACAAGGGCATGGCATGGTGGCTCGTGACTATAATCCCAGCACTTTAAGAGGCCAAGGAGGGAAGATCACAAGGTCAAGAGATCAAGACCATCCTGGCCAACATGGTGAAACCCCAACTCTACTAAAAATACAAAAATTAGCTGGGTGTGGTGGTGCACACCTGTAGTCCCAGGTACTCAGGAGGCTGAGGCAGGAGAATCACTTGAACCTGGGAGGCAGAGGTTGCAGTGAGCCGAGACTGTGCCATTGCACTCCAGCATGGCGACAGAGTGAGATTCTGTCTCAAAAAAAAAAAAAAAAAACAAAAAAAGAACCACACCAAAAGGCAATAAATTAGTCCTATCTGTCAGCAATGAGTTTGAGGCTAGTGACACACCACTATACCTTTACGGAGGAGACAGCATACTTACTCTCTGGCTGGAAGACAAACTCATATCCCCAGACTAACAGCAGGGTCCACACGACACTCCATGCGATTAGCTGCCAGGGCTCATACTTGGTGCAATGCCCATTTACATAATTCTTGGCTTTTGTGGAGTATACTTCCAAAATCTCTAAGTAGGGCTCAAAGGCCTTCTAGAAATACAAGAGAAAAATAGAAACATTACATTTTGAGAGAGAAAAGAAGTTTGTTCTTAGTTTGTACTTCAACTCTCATTTTTCAAGGGCAAGGTCATTCCTGATCTTGCCCTTCTTCAGCAATAATCTTATCATCATCTACAGCCCTCGAGACTTCTGTACCAGTCACTCCAGCAGCACTCCACTGCCACTTAAGAGCTAGTGGACTTTGAGAATATTTTTGATCTTGTGCCTATTTTGTACAATAAGAGGGTTAAGCTAGATCGTCACTTTAGCCCTAAGGTTTCTGTGTGACTGTCAGTATCACTGTCCCAGTCTCTTAACTCAAACTAATATCCCCAGTATGAAATGTCATTTCTCTTCCCTATTTGAATCTTTCCTATTCTGTACCCCAGTGGTCAGCAAACTGGTTCTGGAATGAGCCTGATACTAAATGATTTTATACTTTAACTGTTGTGAACCAAAGGCTCTCCTTTACAGCTACTCATCTCTGCTGCTGGAGCGCAAATACAGTCACATTTAGCGCGTCAACAAATGAACATGGCTGTGTTCCAACACAATGTAATTATGGACACAAAAATTTGAATTTCATATAATTTTCATGTTCACAAAATAATATTCTTTTAACAATTTTTAAAATGGAAAAATCATTCTTAGCACATGGGCCATATAAAACCAGGCATATAGCCAGATCTGGCCCATAGGCCGCAATTTACTGATGCCTGCTCTAAGGCCTTAATTCACTATAAATCTCTTAATCAGCAACAGTATCTTATCAGCATGTACATTCCTCACAACATCTGGTACAAGAAAGAAAAAAAATCCAGTTCTCTGTAAACTTATCAGAGTATCTCATTTAGGAGAATTCCTCTCTCCCTTTAAATTCTCCTCCAGCACTCATCCGTGATAAGTCCTATACAGAGCTTATCACAACCTGCCTTGCAGTCTACTCATCTGTTTCTTATCTCCCTGACTATATGGTTAGGTCCCTTAAGACAGACCAGTTCTATTCATATCTACAATCCCCTACAGTGCCCTGTACAAACTAAGGTCGTTTTATAGTTTGTTATTCATTCACTTAATCAATATTGATTAAGCATTTCCAGGGCTGAAGGCAGTAAGCTAGGGAAGTGTTCAGGTACATATCATAGTTCCAAGTCTATAGTGAGTTTACAATCTAATCCAAGAGTTAGACATGTGTCTATACACACACAAAGGCCCACACATATAAAAACAAATCACGAAAACTCCTCAGGGGAATAGCCACAAAAGGCATATGAGCGCCAAGATGGAGCACTGAGGAAGGCCCATCTAACTAAGAAGGGATAAAAATAACGACAGAGGGTAAAATTTAAGCCAGTTAAAAGGGTAAAAGAAAATTCTCTAGGTAGAAAAGTTAAAAGGAACAAGGTCACACCCGGAAGAGAGGATTGCAGCTGCAAGTGCATAAAGAGAGTCTGCGTATGGCAAAAGTTCTATGTGGTAAAGTGTAAGCTACACGATGGCAGGGACCATCTCTGTGCCATCCTGTGCTAAATCCCCAACATGTGGCAGAGTGCCCAGCACACAATTTATACTGAATACAAACTTGGACAGTGGCTGACAGTGCCCAAGTAAGTGAGTAAACACTGAAATCAGAGCCCTGAGGCTGGGAGAAGTATACTGGGTCCATGACACGGTTTGGATGCCTATCCTCCAAATCTCATGTTGAAGTATGATTCCCAATATTAGAGATGAGGTCTGGAGGGAGGTGACTGGATCATGGGGGACATCTTCCATGAATGGTTTGGCACCATCCTCTTGGAGATAAATGAGTTCTTTCTCAGTTAGCTCATGTAGATCTGGTTGTTTAAAAGTCTGGAACCTCTCCCCTCTTTCTTGCTCTTACTCTTGCCATGTGACGTGCCTGCTTAAACTTCACCTTCCACCATGATTGCAAGCTTCCTGAGGCCTCACCAGAAGCAGATATTGAAGCCATGTCTGCACAAATATGCAGAATCATGAGCCAATTAAACTTCTTTTCTTTATAAATTACCCAGTTTCAGGTATTTCTTAACAGAAATGCAAGACTGGGCTAATGTAGTCCATATTTTAAAAAGACTTAGAAAAACTGATAGGAACTTTTGTAAAGCAATGTGTTGGTATCTATTAACATTTTAAACGTATATTCATTTTGACCTAGCAATCCTACTTTTTGACATCTACATATTTGCACATGCATACAACTAAACATGTTCAAGGATATTCATTTCAGTATTCTCTGTAACAAAAGGAAAAAAATAATGTAAATGTCTATCCAGAGAACAATAGTTAAATAAACTATAATACATGTATTTTATGTACCCATACTAGGAAACGTTAAAAAGAAGACAGATCTACATGAACTACACGAAAATATTTCCAGAACACAGTATCAAGTAAAAATAAGTAAATTACAAACAAGAGCAATAAAACAAAACAAAAGGCATGGATTTTTAAGTATATGAGTCATTTTACCAGGTGTGAGTATAGAAATTATTCAAAATTTTCAAGTTCAAGTTCGAGAGACGGGTTAACTATGATGTTAATAGCTAATATCATTATTAACTATGGTAAGACTAGAAGAGGAAGGGAACGTAACGAAGGTAGAAGATGTTTTGAGAAAAAGATAATGATACTAACATTCCTATTGGATATCCACATACAATGTTCTAGTAGGAGCATGAAAGCTTAGAAAAAGAACAAATACTCAACAAATGTTTGTTGAAAACATTTATACCTGCAGTGGACTGAATGTTTATGCCCTTCCCCAAAATTTGTATGTTAAAGCCTAACCTTCAAGCTGATGGTGAGAGGAGGAGGGAGTCTTTGAGGAGGGAGTCATTAGATCACAAAGGCAGAGGCCTTGTGAATAAGGTTAGTGACTTTGTAAAAGAGATTCCCAGAGAGCAAATTTGCCCCTTCTATCATATGAAGACACAGTGAGAAGACATTTTCTATGAACCACTTTTACGAAGGCCACCTTCCAGGAAGCAGGGCTCATCAGGCACCATATTTGCTGCTGCCTTGATCTTGGGCTTCTCGGCCTCCAGAACTGACAGAAATGGATTTCTGTTGCTTATATGCTACCACGTTTATGGTGTTTTGTTACAGCAGCCTGAATGGACTCAGACAATACTCTTAGTAATTAGACTGTGGTATAAGGTAATTAACATTAGACAACTATTAAGCTCCCTGGAGGGCTATCCATGGAGACAGTTTATCTGCAATTCCCCAATAGTTCTTGGTGGTCATTCCCCAGAGCCCACTGTTACATCAACAACCTCTATCCAAAACAATGGCAATACCAGCCAAAACCTGGGAAAGATCAGAGGAGTCTATCATCAAAGGTATGTCATGATGTCTATCATTACATAGACTTGTCTAGTGTGAAAGCTGTGGTCAAGCCAGATGGTTAAATGCTGTGTATGAATGAGATGATGAAAGAACAATCATTCAGATTAGCTTTTCTTCTGGTGATACAAATTCCTAATTCACCCAGAAAATAGGTTACCATTGTCAAAAGATGACTACAGATATTATCAACAATTCACAGCACTGAACAAAAAAGTGATATAACCAGTTTTAGGGAGACAGCAAAGAACCAGCAAATGCAACCTAATTTTTAAAAGCCTTAAAATTAAGATATAAAGACATTCCTCACTAACATTTAAAAATACAAAGACATTCCTCGTTAACATTTAAAAAATTATATTCAGCAATAATATATATTTTTTGTATTTACTTGGATTCTTAAGAAGATAATGGCAATCCTTAAATTCAAAGGGAATCCTTTAAAAGGAGATGTATCTAAATTCTTTAACACCAAAGACAAAATGACAGTCCAATTGGATGGGTCCTGACAAGCTTTTGAGGAGGTAACTAGTTGATCACAGAAATTACATCTCCTGGCATCATTCTAAGTTCCTTCTAGGTTACTAAAACAACCTAGGCTCAGTCCCCAATGAAGATGCAACTTACAACACCAACAGCTCACTGCATTATCGGGCTCTGTGGAGTAACGTATCCTATCTCCCTGGAATAAAAGATGATGCAGTTCCTTAGGGCCTTGAAAACGGCACAAACCCCAGGCTGGGTCCTGATGCAATACTCCAGCCCTTGGGAAGCACAGAATCTAAGAGCTGAAGGGAATCTGGGAGATCGAGTCTAACATTTTCACTTTACAAGCAGAGACCCCACAGTGAAATGACATGCCTATGCTCTTACAGACATGCTTGTGATTAAGTGGAGTCTAGGAACACATGGCTCTTGACTCAGTATTCAGTACTTTTTCAATTCTTGATTTTCAGTATTCATGGGCAGAGGATTAACACATTACAATCCAGCAGCATCCCAAGAGTTTCCTTTTTACAATTTATGTTCTTGGCAGGATCTACCTTGAATATTTGGTACCATGTATAACATACTAAAATTATATAGTTAGGTCATGACTATAGATAAACCTCTAGATCAAGCTTGTCTGACATGCAGTCCAGGACAGCTCGGAATGCAGCCGAGAACATATTTGTAAACTTTCTTAAAACATTCTGAAATGTTTTTGCAATTATTATTATTATTTTTTTAGCTATCATTAGTGTTAGTGTATTTTCTGTGTGGCCAAAGACAATTATTCTTCTTCCAATGTGGCCCAGGACAGCCAAAAGATTAGACACTCCTGATCTAGAGAGAGGTGGCACAGAAGTTAATGTGATTATAATTACTATTCCCACTATGTCTTTTTACTTATAGCAGTACTTTTTTTGCCTATGTATCTCTGCATATATATAGTTATAATTCTTAGGCTTCTGTTTATTTCAACTTTATTAATGTATTCTGTCTCTGGAAATACAAGAACTATGAATGATCATCCATGAAGACCACGAGCTTAGTGTGCAACTCCAGGTTAATTATCTCTCCAACCTTTATGTCTTTATCTAGAAGAAGAAGCACAAGAATAATACAGTCAAAATAAGCTGTAT